CGAACTGAGGGGCTGTTGTAGACGCACTGCAGGGTGGCACACCAGGATGGTGGCCCGTAGTACACACGTTGCTGGATGGTGGCCCATAGTCGTCGTCGTCGTCGTCTTCGTCGTCGTCGTCGTCGTCGTCGTCGTCGCCGCCGTCGTCGTCGTCGTCGTCGTCGTCGTCGTTGTCTTTGTCGTTGTCGTTGTCGTCGTCGTCGTCGTAGTCGTACTCGTTGTTCTCGTATCGTCGTCGTCGTCGTCGTCGTCGCGCTCGCAATTTTGCTGGGGGGGGTCCGGAATATTAAGGCGCCCTCTGCGGGAGGGGGTCCGGAAAATTATGTCGCGAAGGAAGGGGGGGTCCGGTTTTTTAGGGGGGGGTCGATTATTAAGGGATCCAGAGTACGCTGTGGTGTTTTCTTCGAGCGTCGGCATCGAAGGGTGGCGGCCTCGGCACACCTTTAGGTCGGGCATGTCCCCCTACAGGCGGATTTTTGACGAAAAAATAGAGATACCAGGAACATATTCAAACATATTCAAAAACATTGAAAATAGCAGCAAAAGTCCCCCGGTCTATTTTTGCCTATTCTGACCTATGCTCCTGTAGAGGGGCATGCCCGATTTAAGCATACCTCCCCTCTACGGCGGCGAGCCGCAAGACCGATCCGCCCGCAAAGCCCGGGGCTCCCCGGAGCTCCTCCGCACCGCGACGACGCCCCGGGCCTTCCCTTGGCGGTGCGCACAGGGGGGTGGAGGGAGGGGGGAGGGCTTCTTGGGAGGAGGCTGCTTCTTAGAAGGCGACGGTCGTAATGACATCTACAGAGAAGGCCCGCGCCCTCTGAGAAGCAGGGGTGCTTCTAAGAAGCCCTCCCCCCTCCCCCCACCCCCCCTCCCCAGACCCCCGACGTAATTAATTTTTCATTACGTCGACCCCGGAGTTCTCGACCCCTTCCCCAGGACCGGATTGTCATCCTGAGTCGTTTTGTTGACGCTCCCGAGGCCCGGCGAGGGCCCCAGAGGCCGAAAATGGCGAAAAACCTCCCGTCATGATTTTTTCATTACTCGAGGGGGTCTGGGTCTGCGCGTGGCCGATTCCCCCGGGGCCAGCTTCTCCTCCCGGGTCGCCTCCTCGGAGGCCCCGCCGGCCCCAAGGCGGGCCCCATATATGGGCCCCGGACGTCTCGAGGCGTTCTCGACGTCGACCCCCCCATGATCAGGGGGACGTAAGACCTGGGTACAGGGGACTCGGAACTACCCGACGAGGTCGTCAAAAAAATGACGAGGCCGAGCCTGCGCTTCCCAGACCCCCTCGAGTGATGAAAAAAACACGACGGGAGGTGTTTCGCCATTTTCGGCCTCTGGGGGCCCTCGCCGGTCCTCGGGAGCGTCAAAAAACGACTCAGGATGACAAACCGGTCCTGGGGAAGGGGTCGAGAACTCTGGGGTCGACGTAATGAAAAATTCATTACGTCGGGGGTCTGGGGAGGGGGGACTCGGAACTACCCGACGAGGTCGTCAAAAAAATGACGAGGCCGAGCCTGCGCTTTGACGAGGCCTCCCGCTGCAGACATCCCGCGAAACTCCTCCTCGTCAAAATCAGAGGCGCGGTCGTCAAAAAACGATGGCGAACCCGAGTCCTGGCAAACCCGGGTCTTACGCTCCCCCGACATGAGGTCTCGACGCATTCCCTGGGATCAGCTTCTCATCCTGAACCGTTTTGAGCAGGGACCGGCCGTCCCAGCATTCCTATAGTCCTACCACGACATGTTGTTAGAACCCAAAAATGTTCTAAGAACACAATAGCGAATTTCTCAGAACAGACGCCCGATGTGAAAAAGCAAGACGGACCCAGCCAGAAATGCTCTAAGAGCATGTCGTGGGAACCACAAAAGGTTCTTAGAGCATTGTTTGGTAGGGCTATAGGCGAGCCAAAGCGCTTCGCCACTGCTTGATATTCGACGTCGACCCCCCCCATGAGGTCTCGACGCATTCCCAGGGACCGGCTTCTCATCCTGAACCGTTCTTTCTGTCGTTCCCGGGGCCCGGCGAGGGCCCCCAGAGCTATGTTGCTCCCACTCCAGGACCACATCCGAGACATAATTTCGAGCACCCGGAAAAGTGTCGAAAGAGTGTCGAAAGAGTGTCGGGCGAGTGTCTCCCAGGGCCCGACTGGTGAAAACCGTAGGGAGTTTTTGGGTGCTTTCCAGCTGCTCGAAATTCTAGTGATCAGGGCGAAAGTAGGCTGGAATATCATAAGTCTCGACGCGTTCCCTGGGACCGGCTTCTCCTCCTGAACCCTTTCTCCTGTCGGTCCCAGGGCCCGGCGAGGGCCACCAACGCATTCCCTGGGACCGGCTTCTCATCCCGAATTACTCTTTCTGCCGGCCCCGGGGCCCGGCGAGGGCCCCCATGCAGAGTCTCGACGCATTCCCTGGGACCGGCATCTCACCCTGAACCGTTCTTCCTGTCGGCCCCGGGGCCCGGCGGGGGCCCCCAGAGTTATGTTGCTCCCAGCGTA